TACAATATAAGTGATGACGTGAATCTCTAATTTTATTATTAAATATATTAAGGTTAAGAGAAATTTCGAACCATGATGAAGTAAATGTAAGATGATATTTACACGTGCTTTTGCTGCTACAAATTTTATAATTTACAAGAAAGACGACCATTTTAACTATCATGCGGTGATATTATTTGCCTCTAATGCTATAATGCTTAGAAAGACTAGATATAAAACTAGCAAGTGCAATGTCCCTTTGATAACAATCATCTCTGCCCAGTAGATTAACCGCCTACCGAGTCATTATTTATGATGAGATATCTCCTAAAAAATGATTTCTATCTAATCAAATGCGATGATCATCCAAATGAAAATGCAAATACTTATTGCAAACAAACAAATAAATTAGTTTGTCTAAGATGTTTGAGGGAAGATCCTCACCCTCATTTTATATAAAATAAAAAATTACATATTCATAAAATGGAGCAAGATTAATATCAACAAATTTATGAGATCTTTGATGTTCTGGACTGGATCTATCTCTCAATATACCTAATAAGCTTAATTCTTTTCACTTATTATGTACGCAAATATATTCAGAATTGCCAAGAGCAATATAAGAGAGATTACTATGCTCTGACTACATTTTTTCTTATAATAATCGGAATTTCAATAAAACTAATCTTCAGATATACATCACTTATTTGGCTTAGATTTTTGGGTTATAAGTATCTCGAAGTTTTCAGTAAAACTGATGATTAAACAATAAATATCTGCAAGTATTTTTTCACTTTTCAAATAGGGCATAATAGAGCTTATTTCAAATCGCAATTATTGTAAATACAAGGAGATGGCTTAATATTTTAAATCTGTACAAAAACAAGTCAAAGCCAACGACATTCATGAAATTATTAATTTATTCTCTTATACTAACTGAATTAGTGACTGTACTCATAAAAGTCTTAACATTTAGCAATGAAAACGAAGCAAACTTCATATAAGTAGAGCCTTACTTCACTATTTTAAATGTTGTTTATTTTTTGATTGGTGCATCAATAATATCCTTCTATCTTAGATGCTTATTCTTTTTTAGAAATTATTTCTAAAATTAATTGAAAACTTCTTAGTCATAAGCTTTCTAAGAAGACTAAAGACTATTATTAAATACTATGGAACAGCTTACTAAATTTTTTTTTGTTATGGTTATAGCCCTCATTGTAAAGCTTGTACCTCAAATTCAATTTGTGATAACTCTTATAGGCAATATGAAACTTAATACTAAGGATTAATTGCTATACATGTCGATAAATAGATTCATTGAATTTATAGCAGACTTGCTGATTATCTTTATATTATGTTAATCTATAAAATGGGTTATTTATACAAACTAATAATACTACGAATAAAGTAGAAATAGTATTGGAATTGAAAGTACGTCTATAATGGATAAAGAATCATTGGGATATGTAAACTTAGAATTTCATTTGGATAATTAAAACGTTTTCGCTCCTTTGGAGCCTATGAGGTATAATCTAAATAACTCTACGCTTATATTTCAAGAAACTCAATCCATCCCTTCAGATAGTCTTTAAACTTCTTAAAATCCCCTCTTGCAACAAAATTATTCATATAAATGAATCTAGTATTCAGTTAAATTAATCTACATATTACTTAAATATATTTAAAGCATTAATTATTTAAAAAAGACAATCTATTAAAAAAGTCTTACGGGGTTTTGGGGTTTTGGGGTTTTGGGG